CACATGTCTCATGAGTAGTTTCATGTAGGGGATTGGTTATTTTGAAGCGCCAGCATTATCGATAGTTGATCCACTTCCAATCCACACTCAACAATGAGTGGAAGAGGTAGTTCGAAGAATAGTACCCAACTATGAGTTGGGGTCACTAACAATGAGTATTAAAGTGTATACTTGATGCGTGAAGATGAAACAACTTAAATACACTTCCAATCAAATTGGTTTGCAATTTACTTCTATAAACTACACTAATTGTTTTTGGTTGTTTTCAAATAGGTAAAAAGCCTAGGGATGTAGGTGTTCGCCTAATTGGCAAAGTACGTTAACACTTATTTTATTGATCGGGGTGTATTATAGCTCTCAACTCTAAGTTACCCAGTCAATACCTCTTGGTCATAGAGTGATTTTGCCCAATTAGATATCTCAAGCCCAAATGGGTATCAAGCTAGATAGCTGATATGAGCTCAAGTCAGGTTTTTCCTATCTCTAGTTCAAACCCTTTAATTAGGCTAGTCAAATCCTTAACTAGCCTAATTTCTTGTTAGCCAAGTTTTCCTAGACTAGGTCCCTCTTTTTCAAGTAAAGATCAAGTCAAAAAGGCATGAATCAATGTTTGCAACCATTAATTCTAAAATTAAAGCATGAACAAGGCTAAATAACAAATAGCAAATCATAAACAAGCATTAAGTTAAATACATATAAGGTTTACATACTAGGGTTGAGTCACTACCCTAGTAAATGTCTAGCTACTCATAGTAGAAAATGAAGAAAACAAAGAAGAATACTAATTAAACCCATAATATAAAATTAAAATGATAAACTATGATGTTTTTGTCCCAAAATGAACGTAAATTTCCTAAAATAGTAATCTACAACGGCTACAGCTGAGAAAACTTCAAAACTTGACCTAAAAATGTGATCCCCGTCTATTTATAGTGGCCCAAAATTTGCTCACAAAAATGTCTCTCGGGAGGTTATGAGGCCGCACAATTCCATGTGCGGCCCCCATATTGCTTGAGTCTGCATGGAATGGATTCTGTAGCTGCACAATTTGATCTGCGGCTAGAATTCAGCTTCTGCGGCTGTACAATTCATGTGCAGTCCGCACTTCAAGCAAGGCTTCAATCTTGGTCATTCTGCACACTCTCTGAACTTTTTGAATTCTTGTCAGTGCGACCATGTTCTGCGACTGCACAAATTGTGTGTGGTCCGCACTTCTCTTCATTCCATCTCTGAGCTTCAGCAATAGATCTGTGGCCACAAGGAGAATTCTGCTGTTCGCACTTGCTTCTACAGCTGCAGAAATACTTCTACGGACCGTACTTTTGTTTTGTTTCTCCCCTTCTTGCTTGTGAGTCGGAGCACTCATTTTTTAGTCGGATTTCTTCATAATAGCCCAAATCTCCACAATTCCTGCAATTTGCACACTTTCATTAGTTTTGGGAACATAAATCAACACTTTCGGACTAAAACAAAAGTAAAAAGGTAGTAATAAGTGGTCAAAATCCACACTTATCAGCTCCTCCAAACTTACGTATTTGCTTGTCCTCAAGCAAATAGATTAGTTCCCACCTCCTCAAAGTGAAAGGTCATTTCAGCTAGTCAATGGTGAGCCATTCATACTTAGTTGGGACCAACAATTACCTATACTACTCATGCATATCAACAAGGTGACAAGTCAAATATCATGTACATATAGTTCTAATATGACATTTGAGCTTCAAGAATTGAATTTACTAATCAAGGACTCTTGTTCTATAACGTAGGTCATGGTGGACTCCAAACTCTTCCTCCTCTACCTTCCATTTTCCAAGCTCACTTCAAAAGTTAGCACTCAATCTTAAGATTCATGAAATGTTCACTCTTCTCTCACAGGAGAATGTCACAAGTACGGCTTCAAGTTCATAGGTTTGCCCCTCATGTAGATCACCACTAATGTAAGCCCACTCAGTTCAAGATCAAGTAGGACTTCTTTCAGGTTGTAATGAAGGCTTTTGGATTAGGGTATGATACCATATGGGTAAGTAGTTACACCTTTCCTTAAACAATCCATATTTTCATTTCTTGGCTCACAATTACTAATTCTTAAAGGCATTCTATTTTTATTGGGGGCTAGAGAGACTTGACACCACTCTTTCTTGTTCATTTCATTCTTTTTCTCCCTTGATGCTTATGTTAGGGATCAATACCTCTTTTTCTATCCATCAGCCCTTCAACTTATTCTCTTTTTTGCATTTTTCTTTTTGTTCTATTTCTTTTCTTGCTTTCTCATTTCATAGAGATTATTTGTTTTCTCTTTTTGTTCCTTTATACCTTTTTCCAATTCTTCAAATCTCCCCCCCAAACTTATGTCTTAAGCCACTTATTTCACAAGAGTGTTAAGGAAGGTACGAGTGCTAAGAAAGGATCACGACAAAATGGGTAAAGACTTATAACATGGCTATTAAATGAGAAACGCTAGAGGCTTAGTGAGGGTTGACGAGGGATAACGACATTGGTTGGAAATAGAAAGCTCAAACGGGTCAAGAATGTCACGACCCAAACGGATGGGCCATGACGAGTGCCCAAGTTCTACCTGTCGAACACCACTAAACATACGTCTAAGATATAAACATGAAATAAGTGTAGGTCATGCATAACGTCTGGCAATAAACTACTAATTCATGTGAATAACAACGCTGAAAAACAAGCCCAAAAGACATATATACATATATATACGGAATACGGTAGGGCGAGTCGACAAGGCTAACTACTATCCAACTATACATGACTGTCTAAAGACCTCTAATAGAGTGTACAAATGCATAAAGGACGAGACTGGGCCCCGTTATACCAATATATGTATACAAAAGTATCTTACCCAAACACAATAGCAGCTCCGGATCAAATGGAGCACACCAACTCTTGCTGAGTAATGATCCTAAGAAGGGGGACCGTCAACCTGTCTACCTACACCTACGGGAATAAAACGCAGGCCCCCAGGCAATAGAGGCGTCAGTACGAACAATGTACCGAGTATGTAAGGCATAAAAGTCAGTATATAAAAGACATGAAAGAAACACGGAGTAAAAGACTCCACCTATAAGTCTAAATAGATCTGTAAATCCTGAAATATTTATAATGTCATGCATGTGCATACAATGTCATATCATGCATAGGTATATGCGTACATAACATCATCAAGCCTCTGAGTGCATCCCATCATATCATCTCGGCCTCTGTGGGTGAAATCATCAATGCATATGAACTGATCAGGTGGTGGTGCGTATATAACACCGTAACCTTTCCCCATACCCCATATAATATACACGTGTATAACACCATCTGGTCATAGGTCAATGTACATGTATAAATGAATGCAATGCATAATGAAGTAAGTCAATAAGATATCTCGGAATGTCATAAGATCAATATGCCTTCGGATAAACTTTATCAGCTTATATATTTTCCTGAGACCCATGAACAGACGATATAATAATAGGACACATGGGGAATCAAGAACATAGACACCCCTAGTACTTCTAAGAATAGAGCCATTTGTGAAAGTCGCGTGTTTGCTCGTTTTGTTGTATTATATGGATCATGCCAAAAGGAATGAAGGGATAGCCATAACATACCTTATAGAAATTTGTCAAATAACAATGCTAAACTCAGCTCACTGCACCTTAATCTACAACAACGACAGTGAAGCTATTGTCAAGTTACGAATGACTCTCTCATTTATATAACGAAAGTAACTTAATTTGTAACCAAAAAAACGGGCAGCATTTCCCCTGATTTTACTGCTCTCTCAATCCTACTATAGGCGAGACTGCAACCAATACAATCAGCAACTCAAAAACAACGTAACTACAATTCGGGACCTTTAATACAACAAAAACCCCAAATATACCATAACACACCCAATCAACAAGTTATCAAGTAGTCTAAAACTGCAATGACGAGCGACCAGCCCACTACCCTAATACATGTGGCATTTATCCATGCCTTTTATCCTTCCAAACTCCATAAATTAGCAGCACAATAGGCTAATACGAGTGAACTACAAAACAGTCCACTAAAAGTGGAATAAATCGAACTCACAGCTTTAGATCACCGTACCGTGAGTTCTAACTATTAGGAAACAAATTTATCAACCTTCCTTGATATTTAGAAGCTTAAATACAGAAATTAGGCATTTTCTTAACTATCAAGTACCTTCCAAAACTCAAACTACAAAGAAAAAGAGAGGCGGTATAATGATACTCATGTCGTAGGGATCGTTATAGTGTTATCGCTTCTTGGTTTCGTACCCGGGATGTTAATCATCTTTGAAATCCTTGTAGAGAGCTTAAGGATAGGTTTGGGGGGGGGGGGGTTCTCTATTCGTGTTCTATGAAAAATGAAGAGAAAACTGACTTAGGACCTATATATATCAACTTTTGAAAAGTGAAAGAGGTGCTAGCTTGATACCCTAGCATTGGCCCTTCTTCAGATGCTCATATCTTTTTATCCGGGCATCGTATGAATGAACGGTTAAGAGTGTTGGAAACCAAATTCCAATACCTTCTATTTGGTATATAATATGTCCCAAAAGACCTCATATAACATACGAAATGTGTTGCTCAAAAAGATTCTTTACAAGGCAAATCCTTAGTTAGTTTTTCCGCAACTTAAATCCGATTTTTCCCAAACTTCATATTATATATCCAAACACATATAGTCATATTGTGACTTTAAGCTCATTTAAATCATTATTAACAAGTGCCTTATTCATTATACGTCACCTCGGGACGCATAGGGCGTAACACTCCCCCCTTAGAAACATTCGTCCTCGAATGTTAAACTCCCAGAGATCTATAAAAATTTTTGCAGGGTCTCCTCTATAATGGTACTACTACCAACCTGTCACACAGCAAACCCAGCAATACAAAGCCACGCAGGGCCACAATCATCAATAACACCAATGGCCTCACACGATAAATGACAGTAATTAACAGAAGAATCCAATATCATACTTGCATCTAAAGGCTGTGATGTTTCGTCTGATCCTCCTTCGGAAGCAGAAACAAGTGAGGATACCTATACTTCATGTCTTCTTCAGCTTCCCAAGTCATCTCCTCCACATTCTTGTTTCTCCAAAGTACTTTAACTGAAACTACATCCTTAGTTCTCAATCTCCGAACTTGTCGATCTACTATAGCAATGGGAGCTTCCTCATATGATAGCCTCTCTGTGACCTGAACATTGTCAACTAGAACGATTCTAGAAAGATCTCCAATATACTTATGGAGCATAGACACATGAAAGACTGGATATAAAGACTTCAAGTTGGAAGGCAAGTCTAACTCATATGCTACCTGGCCTACTCTGCGTATGATCTTATAAGGTCCAATGTACCGAGGGCTAAGCTTTCCTTTCTTATTGAATATCATGACGTCTTTCATTGATGATACCTTTAGGAATACCCAGTTATCTACCCGAAACTCCATGTCCCGTCATCGATTATCTGCATATGACTTCTGACGACTCTGAGCTGCTAATAGCCTTTCCTATATAAGCTTAATCTTCTTAACTTCCTGTTGTACCAACTCTGGTTCTACTAACTTAGTTTCCCCAACATCGAACCATATGATAGGTGACCTACACTTCCGTCCGTAAAGAGCGTCGTATGGAGCCATCTGAATATTGGAATGATATTTATTATTATACGTGAACTCAATAATCAGAAAATGATCATCCTAGCTACCCCTGAAGTCTATCACACAAGCCCGTAGCATATCCTCAAGTATCTGAATAGTACGCTCACCCTGACCGTCTGTTTGGGGATGCAATGCTGTACTAAGACTTACTTGAGTCCCCAATACTTTTTGGAAGAACCTGCAGAAATTAGTTTTAAACCGAGCACCTCTATCTGAGATAATAGACATAGGGACACCATGAAGTCGTACTATCTCCTTAATGTAAAGCCTTGCATAATCCTCGGCTGAATACGCAGTCCTGACAGGCAGAAAATGGGCTGATTTTGTAAGTCTATCAACAATCACCCATATAGATCGAACTTACACTGGCTCGGAATCCCAAACGGACATCAATAAAATCAAAGTTCACTTCAAATCAATCTTAGAAAATTCTAAAACCTTCAAAATGTCAACTTTTCACAATTAGCGCTGAAATGCTTCCGAAGCACCCGATACTCAACCCGAACATATGCCTAAGTCCGAAATCATCATACGAGCCTATTGGAACCTTTAAATCTCGATTCCGAGGTTGTTTACTCAAAAGTCAAACCTTGATCAAATCTTCCTACTTAAAGCTTTCAAATTGAGAATTTTCCATTTGAATCAACTTTGAACTTCCCGAAATTTGATTTCGACTATGCGTACAAATCATAAAATATGAAGAGAAGTTACTCAAGACCTCAAACCACTAAAGGACGCGCTAGAGCTCAAAACGACCAGTCGAGTTGTTACATTGTCCTTAATTGATTTTCCGACATCATTCTCGTCGAACTTTCCCTTATTTGAAATCTCCATTACATTATACCACCAACAATATCTTCTAAATTAATGTCCCTTTTTTGATATCGAGATACTGCCGGATATAGTGAACTTATCGTTGTTAATTGCAGACTACCCAATAAGACTCCATCGAAGACAACAAATCTTCAGAATTTGTATATCCTTTCCTGCAACTGGATTCTCTTTCTGGGTCTATTACACTGGAGCTGGGTAATACAAAAATCTCTAAGTCTTTGGCATTATTGGAAAACATATTTTCCGATGAACTGTCGGGAATATTTGCAGAGTTTAAGAATATCACTATTTTGAAGAAGGATTGTGGAATTTCCTTTTTGATGGGTTTCGTGAGAAATAATATATATGTTTTAAATTGCACATGAATGTATCTTTAATTTCTGTAATGTGTGTGCAAAATAATGGTAAAGAACATGAACACCATGAAAATGAAAGAAGAAGAAAGCCATGTTGACAAAAGTAAATCAATTCACGCTCTTAAGTTCAGGTGAGATCCACATGTCATGCCATGCCAGCATGTTGTGTTCAATAAATACACATCGCACATAGTTTAAGTGTCCAATAGGCCGCACTCTTAGTTAAGATGTCTAAATAAAATATTTTGACAAGTTTAAGGGGTTGTCGATGTATTTGGCTTAAATACAAGGTCATAACATTATTCAAATATTTTACAAAACTAATCTATCAATTCTAACTTAAAAATGAACAACATGCAATGTGAAATAACAAGATAATATTACTCAAACAAGTAAATTGGAACCATAAATATAACATAATTTCAAAATACAAAAAAATATAGTTTAACATATTCCAAATTCTAGAATAATAACGCAGTTACAGTAAATGAAGAAAATAAAATAAATAAGAAATAAAATATACAAGCCATTACTTGAAATCACAATAAGTAAAGATAGAAATATAAAAGATCAATAATGTACAAAGAAAAATATATATTAAAATTTAAAAAGAAATTAAAAAGTAAAAATTAAAATTAAAATAAAAAGTAACTAAAATAATGGAAATGAAAATTTATAAACAAAATAATTAAAATAAAACAAATAAGTACGAACAATTACATGGAATCACCAGAAGTAAAGGTAGAGAAATAAAAGATAACTAATGTACAAAGAAAAATATATTTTAAAATTAAATAAGAAATTAAAAAGTAAAAATAAAATTAAAAAAATTAAAAATGAAAAGAACTTAAAATAATGGAAATAAAAACTTACAAAGAAAATAAATTAAAATAAAATCAAAAAGAAAAGAAATTAAAAAGTAACCAATTCTCACCTCCTAAATTACACACAATTCTATATTAACCAAGTAATTACTTGATCGGACAAACACGCCAAACTATCTAATTACACTAAATTTCAATTTACATGTGGCTTTCCAAACAGGCTCTTATAGTAATTTCGTAATTCAGCAAATAACCAGATGAAATTGTGATTTTAAGATACATTATTATGGTGATAAGGAAATTCTGAAGCTCTCTTTTCCTATTTTCTCAATTCTCTTCCTTCTCTCTCTTTTCTCTTCTACTTTTTGCTCGATTGTTACTGTCCATTGCTAGTATTGTATCTGATACCAACAATGTGGTATCGTTATCCAGTCAGAATCATCATCGGCATCGACAACGTCATCATTAGAAGCAGTATGCGTTTAATTCTACGGTTCTCTCTCTAATTGTAAAGTCGGGTTGAGGTTATTCTCATCAAGTTTCGTGGAGAAATATAACCGCCCCACTGGATTTTAAACCAAAGGTCCTTGGGGCTTTTTCAGGTCGCACTACTACATTTTTTTATAGAGATTTTTATATATGGAAAAATTACACAAGTGTCCCAAATAAGTTTCAACTTACCAACCTCTAGCCATTAATCATAGACTTACTAAAACTAGTCAAACACATATAAAAATTGTAAAACCAAATAAATAAAGTTCTTTCTCTCAAAGAATCACATGCAAAAATCTCCTTTCATATTTTTAAGCGTGATTAGCAATATTAGATGCAAGACGGAAAGAAAATTTTATGGATGAGGTAGCAAATAAGGTTATGAAATACAAAAAAAAATTACAATATTCCAAAAATCTAAGTAAAAAAGGAACTTTTTCAATGGTATAGTTGAAATTTATTGAAAACATATAGATAAGTCAACATACAAAAATTGAGGAATATTAGAGGTAATATGGACTGGTTTGTATCAAAATTCGTAATTAAATCGAGTTCAAAAAATTCTTCTGCGACACATGTATCAAACATGTATCACGCATGTATCTCACACATGTATACATGGATATATATGTGATACACAGTTGATACAAATATGATACATATGTGATACACAAATAATACATAGTGTGATACACATATCATTTTTTTCATGTTCAGTTTTTATTTCGAATTTTCAATTCAAACCATCTCAAAACTTCACCAAATCATCCAAAAACTGAGATTCAAGCTCCTTAATATGTATCCAATCTATTCTAATAACGCCCACTCAAAAGAAAGCAAAAAATTTGACCTTTTTTTTTATACAAATAGCTAATTGGCTAATATTAGTAATATTAGGCTAATATTAATAATATTTAATGAATTGACCAATTTTTATAATGAGCTACTTATAAATGGACATAGCTTGATACTTTTCCTTTATATATTTAGACGAGATGTATCTTATTTTTTCGGTATTCCTATTGAAAATAAGATAGCTTATCTAATGAATTTTTGTTGATCATTGATTAAGATGCAGAAACAAATACACTTAGGGTCTATTTGGAACATCATGTGTAATTATATGGCTTTTTAATTACTAGGATAATAATTACACATTATAATACTTATAAAGTTACAATGACATGTTTGTTTGATAGAACACAATTATATTGTAACTCTCAATGTCATATTTGGTTGGACAATTATAATTACATAGTTAGATAAATTTTCAGATCATTTGTAATTATTATTGCCATGTTTGACTGGGCAAATGTAATTACATAATTAGATAAACTTTTCAGATTAACATATAGATAAGTTTTGCTATGCGATAAACATATTCGAAAATAAGAAATATCCAAATATTTATTTGTTATGATGTATTTAAAATAAATTTTTTTCAGTAAAATTATATTAAAATATTATAAACTGATAAATAATCAAATAATTATGTATGGCACTATTTTATCCAATTATTTAATAAATGTTATTAGAAGGAAAGTTTAATTTGCTACACTATTATTCCTTATGTTTCAATTTAGATGACACACTTTCCTTATTTGTCCATTCCAAAAAGAATGACATATTTTTAAAATTAAAAGTAATTCAACTTTAAACTCTTCATTTTACCCATTTTACCCTTAATAAGAAGCTTTTATAACCACACAAATGTTATGACCCTACAAATCTTTTACACCTTAAGCTTTTAAGACCACAAGTTTCAAAAATCTTTTTTCCGGCAAAATGGCCTCCGGGCCACTTAAACTTGCACCCGTTTTCCATTCCGGTATATAAACTTATTAGAATTTTCCCATTTTAGCACTTTTACTTGATGAAATGAATATTATAAACCACTTTGACCATTGACCATGCCTATGTGGAGGAGGAGTGGTAGCTGACATGAAAACAATGCGTGCAAATCACTGCTATAAGGCGCGTAAATATAATTTTTTGATCTTTTTGTTGATAAAAGAACAAAAGGACAAAAAAAAGGGGCGGGGGAGGGAGGGGGGGGGGGGAGGGGGGTTCCAACCCCTCATTTCTTCCGTCACCCTTCCCTCTTCTCATTCTTCCTTCCTTCTGTGCCTTCGATCCCCCTAACTCCATCTTCTCCAATCCCTCACTCCGCTGTTCCCTTCTCCTCCTCTCCTCCAAATCCTCTTCCCCCACTGATTTACATGTTTCCATGAGAAAATGCAAAACCCTAATGATGGAGCAACAATAGTTGAAATAACCCTCAACC